GCTGATGTAGCTGAGTTTTTCCTTCGGTGCACAATGAACACATTAAATACTTTTAAAATTAACTATCTTGTCTATTTAATTTAGATTGAGGCCTAGAAAAGAATTTGAGAATGAACCCTGTTAGCAGCTCTTCAAGTAAATTATAAGTTTTATGAGTCTAAGAACTGTTACTAATACATGAATCATTTACAATGTTTTTTTGTTACCATTCATAATCAGAAATAGTCCAAGCTTCTGTAACACAGTTGATGCTTGCTTATATTCATTCGGTGACTAGAAACTCACTATGTGAAAGGCACTGAGCTAGTTGCTGCAAGAAAGAAGTTTATTGTCTAGCTGAAGAGATAAGGTAAATATTCACATGTGAAAAAAATTACAGGAAAAGGCAGAGTGTGGTGTGTGCAGTGTACATATATGCGTGTGTAAATCCAGAGTGTTCAGACACATGGTGTGCATACACAGAGTTCAGCGGCAGGCAAAAGCATGTGTGCCTGGGCGGCCAGAACTGTGGGCCTGAAAGGACAGGTGAGGTTTGGAAAGAAGAGGAGAAGCTCATTCCGGACGAGGCTGGGGCATGGAGGCCGAGAGACCAGGAAAGGGTTTCCTCCGCTTGTGTGGGAGCAGATGGCACGGTTCTAAAGCCAAATGTTCTCCATAGACGCTGGGATGCAAGGAAGATGGAAGACCCACTAAAGAGAATGTGGACAGAGGCCCAAACCAGAAGCAACTTTAACACTCTGATCCTCTGTAATGGGACATGGTGGCATTGACAGAGTGGATGTCAGCGCTCGTGTGTGAGCAGTTCACTTTGGGGTAGGCACAGGACATCTGAGTAGAAACCAGGGAATAGGCATTGGGAGCTATGGTTTAGTCTTTGAAGGGAGGTCCAGGCTAAATGTAGATTTTTCAGTGGTGTGTTGGAAGTATAACAAAAAGTCTTCAAAAGAAAAGCACAAAAGGATGGAGAACAAAACTGGAAACATTTGTAGTATCAGGGAAGATTTTATAAATTTTCTTTTTAACAACTTCGCTTTGTTTTAATTATTTATAGTTTTGACTTTTGAAAACACTTTTTTTTTCTGGTACTGGGGATCAAACTCCAGACCTTGCTTGTCAGGCGGGCACGGCACCACTGAGCTACAACCCCAGCCCTGAAAACACTTTCATAGTGGTGATTAAAGAAAGTATAATTAAGAAATGTGCTTATTTTGCATCTTCCCACTGTGTATTTACTAAGTGCATGTATTTTTGTCTTTTTAGAGCTGTATTATAAAGCGCTACTGTGAGAAAAGATTTGTGTCTAAATACCTTGCCACAATTGGAATCGACTATGGAGTCACAAAGTGAGTATATTGGCTCCCTGGGCTTATAAATTGTACAGAAATTTATAACTCCTAAAATGATCTGTATGTGCCTCTGTGCACTTGTGCAGGTTAACTTGAGATAGAAACTTTGAAGATGAGTTGAGAAAAACAGTGCTGGGGACCTTCACAGTACACGGTGACTGGGCCCCTCCTTGACCCCTGAGCTACCTCCTGGGGGCTGTGTCGGGGTGTGGGGGGACCCACATTGACGAACGGATCAGTGGACAGCTGGACTGGCAGAGCCGGCTCTTCCAGAAACGTGTTCTTTACGAGCAGGTGTGTTTTTACAGTGTTTTGAAAGAGTCTAACAAATCTAAATTATATGGAAGTTTTTCTATTGGAGAACTTCACTTACTGGTTTATGATCCTTATAGCCTATTGGACTCCAGCAAAAGACATCTGGAAGAGTAACGTTTGGGCACAATTGGGGATTTGGCGGTAAATCAAGAGGAGGTTGAGCTTGGGGCGGGAGGATTAAACTAATACTGTAACCCACTGCCGAAGGTGGAATTGGGGTAGACCGCGTGCTTCCTGGACTTGGAACTGCAGGCACTCACCGTTGTGACCCCTGCCCACCACCTTGTTACATCCCCCACACACTGGCTGTGGCCTCCATGCTCTCCCGCCTGGTGCCGTTCACCCTTCCCCTCCCCCACTGCTGCCAAGCTCTTCAGAGTGGAAAGTGCTCCTGTTCCCTTAAGATGTCCTGAGCACCCCTTCTATCGGTCAGGATCTTTTTGCAAATGAAATAAACCTTAAAATGATCTATATTCTTTATGGTACTTACTATACATTGCTTTATTGTTATATGCATATGTTTAATGGCTTCTGCTAAAATAATAAATGCCCTGAAAAAAAAGGCTCTTAAGTATAAGTTCTCTCCAAATGTCTAGTAGGTGCTCAGTAATATTTATTGTTAGGTAAGATAGAGACATCTGAAGAGGAAATTTTCCAGATTAGAGCAAGAAGGTAAAAGCCAGGTGTGGTGGAGCACACCTGTAATCCCAGCATTTGGGAAGCTGAGGCAGGAGGATCACCATGACTTTGAGGCCACTGTTGGCTACATAGCAAGTTCAAGGCCAGCCTGGTCTACATAGTGAGACCCTATGTCAAACAAACACAGAAACAAACAGAATAAGAAGGAAAAGTCTTTAGAAGGCAGGCAGAAGTGGTGGGATGTGGCTATAGCAGAACTCAGTTGTGTAACCAGCAGTCAGGCTCGGCTGTGCCCTCTATAAGTGGTTAAAGCAGCTCAAGTAAGTGCTAAAGGAAAACTCGAGAGTTTTTACATCACTGTCTCTTCAACTGATGGCCATGGGGTGATTCTGCAAATTTTCCTTAAAGAATGAAAATTTTGGCCTTGACTGAATTGTATGAAGCTCTTCATTTGAAATCCACGTTTCTTTCTAGTTGTAGTCTTTCTTTTCCCTACTTCAGCACAGGATTTCATCAGTGAAATGGTAAGATATGCTTTAAAGCAGCTTTGTTTCCAATCAACATAAGTAATTTTTTTATCTTAGAAATTAAAATTACCACATTGTGTCGTAGGACTGTAGTTTATTCAACAGATTATTCTGTTTCTCATTAAAAGTTTTTCTGTTTTTGTTTTTAAGATGCTTGTCTCATAATGAGTTGGAGGATATAACTGAGAACACAACATAAACCAACTTAAGCAAAAAGAGTTAAAATTTTAAAAGGTTATTAATCGATTCCAGTTAATTAATCCAGTACTGATGACACAGGCCTCAGACACGGCTTTTCCGTAGGGACAGAGCTGGCCAATCAGAGCCGGAGCAATAGGTCACTTTACTACAGCTCACTATGGAAATTCCTCAAAAGACAAAAGCTAGAAATTCCTTTTGACCAAGCTATTCTCTTTCTCGGCATCTTCCCAAAAGAGTTAGAGGCATCACATTACGTGTGTATACCTATGTTCATAGCAGCACAACTCATAATAGCTAAAATTTGGAGGTGGCATCTATGCCCATCAGCAGATGAATGGATAAAGAAAACGTATTTATACACAATCAAATACTGCTCTGCCGTAAGATACACTTGAAACATTCGTAGGCAAATGGATGCAACTTGAGATCATAGTGTTGGGTGAAATAAGTCAAACACAAGTTTAAATATTGCATGGTTTCGCCTAAGTGAGAAATGCAAACTAAATATATGTATGTAAGCTTAAATAGAGAGACAATGAGTGCACAAAATAGAAGACAGGGAGGACGTGGAGAGATCTCTTTCAAATGGGTGGGGGAGCGAGATGGAGGCAAGAGGAGAGGCGGATGGAAAAAATGATGAAAACAGAGCTTTTGCAAATGGAAAGGGAACAAATATTTGGAAGGAGTAGGGAAGGAGGGGGAGGGAAGGGGATGAACAAAAGAGAAGAAAAGAATTAAGATGTGCTCCATGCATGTACCAACTTCCTGTGAAAATTGTAATCGTGTACTGGGAGTGTGTAGCAGTAAAGGAAGCAGGGTACGGTCTTGGGCAGGCAAACAGCAGATCCGTTTTCAAAAGTGCTCCAGGCTCAGCGTGCCTAGGGATACTTGTGGCCTGGGATGTAACTCTGGGGTAGAGCACTTGCCTCCCACGTGAGGCCTGAGGCCTGGGCTCCAGGGCGGGGAGGGTTGCTTGTGTCTCTGTGAAAGCAGGTTCCCGGGGCTCACCCACTGAGACCCTGGTTCCCCAGGTCTGAGTGGGCGGAGGATTCTGTCATAATCAGGAGTCAGAGGTCCAGAACCAGGCATGGCTTGCCTGGAGGGAAGGAATCGCTATTTTCCCTCCTGAAATCGCCATTTCTTCCTCCTGGCTTCTCAGTTAAGTGGACACTGTTCAGATTTCAGTCTGAAGACATTATAATGCCATTCCTTCTCAGCTGCTATCTCTTTAAGGTAAAATTTTAAAATGTAAACAGTTATCCCAGATCTTTGCCTGCTGCTCTCAAGCTCTGTTACTGTTGCATACTCAACACAGAGCTGCCTCCCCAGCCCCATTACTGTTTGGAAAACCACTGGAGGAATTGTGGTTTCAGAACAGAAAGTGAACAGTGTAAACTCGGACAAAGGAATAATCATTAGTAAAACCAGGAAGTGGTACAGGGAGCATGAGAGCAAGCGCTGGAGTTTAGCCAGTCAGGCCAGTGCTGTCTGAGCCTGAGACATGGTACGAAGGACATGAAGACTCTAATTTGTGTATTTACTGTTAATAATCTCTATTTTTAACCTTATGTTTTTTTTTGAGACAAGTTCTCACTTTGTAGTTTAGGCTGGCCTTGAACTCACTATATAGTCCAGGCTGGAGATCTTCCTGTCTCAGCCTCCCAAGTGCTGGGATTATAGGTATACACCACCATGCCCAGCTGTGCATCTTTTAAGAAATATTTCTTGTGTTGAGGAAACATTTGTATTTAAAGTTCAGTAATTCCTCCCCATTCATTTCAGTTTCTTTTTGTTCTGTTAAACCTAACAAAAAGTAAATTTTATAATATTTATTTTATAATTGTATAACAATTTTATAAGAATATTTGTTTATCTTAGCTATGCATAGAAAAAAGCCTGTAGTGATGTTCATCTTTAGTAATGAAGGCTATTCTGGGTGATAGAGTTTGGGATAACTTTTAAGTGTTTATTAAAAAAAATTTTTTTTAGTGTTTGAATTATTTAAACTGTTCATTCATGATTTTCTGGTGGTAATTTTTCTTTAAAAAAAGACTGGAAACAAGCCAGGCGTGGTGGCACAGGCCTATGATCCCATCACTGGAGGCAGAGGCAGGAGGGTCACAAGTTTTAGCGCAGCCCAGGTTCATGCCTTTGTATCACCAAAAGAAAGACAGACTAGAAGCAAACAGACTATGGTATTAACAGAAGTTAACCCTATTACGAATGCTAACCCCCTTCTGTTTATTTTCAAATTCAGTTCTGAAAACAAATTGTTGTTCAGCTGAAGAGCACAAGACAGTTAAGTGGACAGCGTTAATGTCTCTGCCTCCCGCTGCACAGTCACCAGGCACAACCACAGCACTTAGGTCTCTTCTCCTTCGCCTTGGTACCCAGTTGTAGCTCCTGCTGGTTGGCTCAGCGCTGTGACCCGAAGTGTGTTGGGTTAAAGTAAAGGTGAATGAGAGTGCTTATTCCAGGAGGGCTCAGTGGCTCAGTGCTCCTTGGGCACCTCTGCCTAGTTCCAGCTCCTATGGGAGAATCTCTGGAGCCAAGCAGAGGCACAGAGAAAGCCTCTTATACTTTATGTGTGTATCTCTACATTTCATAAATGATGTTATATGAACCAGAAACCATGACCTTTGGGATTGTTTGCATTTGAACATTTCAGGGTACAAGTCAGAGACAGAGAGATCAAAGTTAACATCTTTGATATGGCCGGACATCCCTTCTTCTATGAGGTAAGAAAGCCTTTTTGAGAAGATCTATATGTAGTCTTGTCAGTGGGTTTGGGGAAAGATCCTGAATTGAAGCCACCAATATTCAGATCATGTAAAATTAGGCACTCTTAGCTCATGTTTGTGGCTTGCCTTGGATCTTAATACATACCTGCTGCCCCTCTAAATAGGTACAAAATTTAATCGCTAATGTTTCAAACACCGGATAAGTAAGACATTTCAACCTCCACAGGACTTTTACATTTTACTTAATACCTCAGCCCAAAACTTGAGAAGATAATTACGCTCACTTCTGGCACCGGAGGGTCTAGTGTGTTCTTTGCATCGCTCCTCGCCCTGTGCTTCTTTCCCGGAAAGAGCGAATTAAGCCCACTGGCATTGTGATCTGTGTATCAGCAGCCCACTTGCTTTCATTTCCTCTCGTTCCTGGATTCGAATCTTTTATGTTAGCCCAGCAGGTCCTGCAGCTCAGTTCATTGTTTAAAATTTTTTTCTTCTCTCTATAATTCAGTTGGGGTAATTTCTATTTTTCCACCCTCCATCAACTGCTGAGCCCACCCTAAGCTTCTTACTTCCATTATATTTTTCTCTGCTAAAATTTTCACTCAGTCTTTACTGGAGTGGGTAGGGGTCATAAGTCAGTTTTCTTTTTTTCTTGCATTGAGTTTATTTAGTACTTTTTAGGCATACAGTATAGTTACATTCATCATTGGGATCCTGTACCATAAGTCAGTTTTCAATAAGATGTTTGGCTGGAATAGAGTACTTACTTTCTGAAATTAAAAAAAAAATAATAATCTTTCTGAATCTTCCCTTTCCTGGCCATCTGGCTGGAGAGATGAGTTGTTTTTGTTTTGTTTTGTTTTGTTTTTCAGCATCGGAGATCGAACTTGGGACTTTTCACTTGTGAGGCAGGGGTGGCACCGCTGAGCTAAATCCCTGGTCCTGTTTTTTGTTTTCTGAGGCAGGGTCTCACTTTGTAGTTCCGGCTGGCCCTGAACTCACTGTGTAGCCCAGGTTGGCCTTGAACTTGTGGCAGTCCATCTGCCTCAGCAAGTGTTGGGATTGCAAGCATTTGCCATTGCACCCGGCATGAGATCAGTTTTGTTTTATTTATTTATTTATTTATTTATTTATTTATTGATACTGGGGATTGAACTTAGGACCTTGCGCTTTGAGGCAGGCAGCAGCACCACTGAGCTAAATTCCTGGCCCAAGATCAGATTTTTGATGGTGCTTTCATTTGTCTGCTGTTCTTGACAGTTTTGAGTTGTACCTCTGCTCCAAGTCTGGGGTGTATGAAGCAAAGGAAAACCCAGAACCTCACACCCGCATTGTTAGCCCTCGGGTCCCCCCAGCCTGGCTGCTGCCACCGTTCCACCTTTCAGAGGTTTGACCACGTACACATGCTCACAATGTCAGGCTCTTTACCTGTGCCTGACCTGTGTTTATACCGCCTATAAATAGATATATGCTTCACATATGATGTCTAGGATTTTTCCTTTTACTATATAAATACTTTGTATGCAATAGCCAGGGTTTGCCTGTAATAGGGACATCTGTATCTGTGGGGTGTTCTCAGTAACTGCCTGATCTCCATCCGTGACTGTGCCCGCATATATTCAGGGGAACCGAACCCCTTTTCGGTGTGAAGCCTTACAGTAGGTTAAGTCAGTTACAGGCACAGAATATCAGTGACAAGGGCTCTAGCTGACCACGAGTTTAACAGATTCTAACTACCAGAAATGCCAGTGTAAGTCTTAGATTATGGGGCTGGGGCTGTCGCTCAGTGGTAGGGCCCGTGCTTCACATGTATAAGGCCAGCCCTGAGGCAAAAGAAGAAAAGAACACGAATTTGAGAATACAGCAAGGTCTTGTGAGTGGAGAGTTAGAAGATGTCTGGGAATTAATGTGGTTCGTAGCTGTGCCCACTGTGGGATTTCTTTCTGCAGTATTCTTCCCAATCAGTGGTCATCACTGCATCCAGATACTCACATGCCAGGGTCTGTGCTGCACACTGGGACATGCCGTTCCTCATTGTCATGGTGTGTGCTGTGCTAGAGAAGACGCTGATGAAACAGATGAGCACTGGGACTGCGGATTTAGCCTGTCTCACAAGCACAAGGTCCTGAGTTCGATCTCTGGTACTGAGAAAATCAAAAAACCAGATGAGCACTTAATATCCTAACCCAGCCTATTCCAGAGCCAGGAAGTCCACTGAAGGACACAGAATTGAACCTGGGGGCTGATAGGTACGTAAGAGTCGTGTAGCAGGGATTCTGGGACAGAGCGACGCCCCATGCGGTCTGAGTGGGAATGGGCATCTCTAGTGCCGGTGTCTCTGCTGCACGAGCTCATCCTGCAGCGCTAAAGCGCCCAGCCAGCATCTTCTGCTTGCAGAGCTGCCCTCCTGTGACTTGCATCACAATTCTGGCCAAGATTTTGGGGGACTAGGGACTGGGTCTGTGTTTCTGTAACCAGAATCTTTCTGATGTTTAGCCTGCTCCAGGGAAAGCGTCTGCATTCCTCCCCAGCCGCACCGCCAGCGTCCCTCTTGTGTCCTTTGTAGAAGGCCCTCATTGCTACTGTGGAGCTGAGAACTAATGCAGTGTCTCAGGTTTTGTGTAACCAGTGAAACTCTCTGTGTTCCTGCTGCTTTCTGTCATTAGACACCAGGCTCTTGTTGCAGCCTAAAATGGTAATGCCTGATTTTTTCCAGCAGTTTATAAAGATAGAAGAATGATTAACAGAAACACCTTTAAATCACCACTTCTAGAGTGTTTTCACTGAAATAGCCTTGCTCTCTTTTTCATCTGTTACTGTGGGTGTCTTGAACTATCCTTTTATTTCTTTGTTTCTTGAGACAGAGTCTTACCCTGTAGCCTAGGCTGATCTTAAACTTGTGATCCTCCTGCCTTGGCCTCCTGAGTGCTGGGATTACAGGTGTGCATCAGTTGAACCCTCCTTGACAAATCCAAAGCCATCGTCATCTTTGTAAGTGCCAAGCTGACCAGATTATACCCTTGCTAGCACATAGCTAGCGAAACATCACAGCCATCCCCATAATCCCTGGCTTCCTCGGACCATTGAAGCATCCACTGTCACTGTCCTCTGGCAGATTTCCCAAAGGATCTGTGGGGACTGGACAGTCTGCCTGCTGCGTAAGATGGCAGCCTCAGAGCAGGTAGTGGGAGAACCTTGGCGAGTGGGGTGGGGCCGGTCTTGGACCCCAGCCTTGCCTCATGGAGCACTGAACTGGGGTCTCACAGGAGCTTTCCAAGGCCCCAGTGTTAAATAGCAGCTTCCTTAGCCATAATCCCAGCTTGTTCCTAGGTCTGCTTTAATGACTAATTCCCATTCCTTTAGCATCCTGTCTTGTTAAACTGTGAACTTGTGGAGATGGCTGGGACTAACAGAAGAAGCTCTTTGGGAAACTAGAATAAAGAAATTTAAGGGAAACATTGAAACATCTGCTCTGTCCTTTTATTTCAGAGATGAGGAAACCAGGGCTGGGGTTAATAAAATAACTTACTCAAGACTACATAGGTGCCTCTTTGCTGAGCTCAGACTTGAACTTGCATCCTCGAGAGAAATTCACGGAGCTTGCATCAGTCTGCTTTTGTGTGCACACCTGTCACTGGAGAGCTTGGCCTGTGTTTGGAATTTCCCCCACTTTGGCCACTACTTTTGTTCTCCCCTGAGACCCCTGCAGCCAGTCATCTACACAGACTCTTAAACACTTACATCTGCCCGGCCTCGTGCGTGACCCAAGCACGGATGCACTGAGACATGGGCCTTCGTGTTGCCTGCAGCCTTCTGGGAGCACAGCTGGATGTGCCATCAGCCACGAGAGTGACCGGAAGTGGCAGGACAACTAGAAGTTCACATGGCTGTGGTGTCCTAGGGGACACAGATGTTACTTCTGTTCACAGGGTCAGATGGTGAGGCACTGGGCAGAAAAACCTACACGTGAGATTTAGCAGTATACCAAGACCTTGCCAGAGGTCTCTTTCCAGCTGGAGCTAGCAAGGTGTAGGGTAGGTGAAGGGAGGGAGATTATCCTGTTTAAAGGCCAGAGGGTAGTAAAGGGGTAAGACTGAGAAGGTTGGTAGAGGATTGATCAAAAACTTTGAACTTTGTTTAAATGAGTTTGAACTTTGGAGAGTTGGCAGTGGAGAAACACTAAGGAAATTATGAGCCAGGGCTTTCAAAAGATAAATATACACAGTGTGTTGTCCTGCTAGGAAGATGGCCCAGCAGTAGGGTGGTCAGGAGATAGTGTTGGACAAGAGACTGGAAGGAAGTGACAGGTGAGAGAGCGTGGCTGAGGTAGGTTCTCCGGGTTCATCTGAATCTGGTAACAGAAGAGAGAAGCCAAGACTGACTCCACACGTTCCCTGAACGACCAGGGAATGGTGTGTTGCATCCATTCCTGATGTCCAAGAGCTCGGAAGGAAGGGGTTGAGGGGTTTTGTACATATGAAGTTGAGATTCCAACGGGGCATTAAGCTGCCAGTCTGGTACTGACCAGAAAGGAAGGTTAGGTGTGGATGTTCTGATGAGAAGACTCATCTTGGAGATTCTCAGAGTCCAGCCTGTGCAAGGGACTCGTACTGCAAAGTCAGGAGGAGGGATCTGGGAGGAAGGAAGAGGGCCCGGGTTGTAGCCACTTCCAGTGGCCGGGATCCAATCCCTGACACCCACAACTTAAGGAGAGGCTTTTTCTGCCTCACAGTTTCAGTCTGTGCTCGGCCAGCTCCAGGGCAGACACGGGGTGGCGGAGGAGCATGGCAGCCAGGACGCAGAGTGAACGGCGGGGGGAGGCATTCCCTTAGGTTGCCCCCAGTGCAGGCTCCAGGTCCTAACAGTCCACTGAGGAGACCGGCACCGCAACACGGGGCTGGGGGCCGTTCTGGACCTAAGCCATCACAGCCTGGGACAGGGCTGGAATAGGGCCGTTGTGGAGAGTTGGTGAGAGAGAGAATCTGAGGCCCTGGAGAAGGTACGTGGAAGCCCAGGCAGAGGGCCTGGAGGAAGGAGCGCCATTGTCCTTTGTTGGTGCTCGCTCTGGAGCAGTGTCTTGTCCTGTGTAGGTTAACGGACCCTTCTCTTCTGGGTCCAGGTGTCTGTTCTGTGCTCAGAAACCCTAACGTGTGTGTAAGGTGTCTGCGTCTCTTAGCACACGACTGCTGCGAGCTGAGAACATTCTTGGATCTTGTGAAAAGCAAACGTGACTGTGGCCTTGTCGAGGTTCTGCCTGCATGTTCACCTGGAGCCTCTCCTCACTCAGCCACCTCTCGCTGCCTCGGCCACTTAGTGTGTACTTCTGCCACCCATGCCTGATGCCCCTCTTCCTGGGCTTCTGCCTGTGCCCCAGAGGCAGGTGGCCAATCAGAGAATGAATCCAGGCACCGTGCGCTAAGGGCTTTGCCTCCATTGTCTCTCTTCAGCCCCAGTAACCCTGTGAAGTAAGTCGCGTTACCCCACCTCACAGATGAGGACACTGAGACACGGGAGGTTGAGTGACTTGCCCAAGATCACACAGCTAGTGAGTGTGGCCCAAACCCTCCTGCCTGCAAAGGCCGTGCTCTTGCCGTCACGTGGCACTCAGGCTGAGTGTGGCCTTCTCAGTTGGTGCCCAGACCCCAGCAGTCAGGGAGGCTCTGCCCGGCTCGCAGGGATGCCGGCACTGGGGGTGGTGTACAAGCGGCGTCCCCATCCTGATTCTTGTGTCTTTTTTGCTCTGAGTTCTTTTAAGTCGTTCGCTCGCCTCCCTAAGAACTTTTCACAGCTGGTGTCTCTTTAAGGACTACTAACGGTAAAGAGTGATTGTCTCAAGAAGTCGAGAGTGGTGGGCAGGGGCCTTCTTTACAAATAGATTTTAAGTCTTTCTGTAAAAATAGATTTTTTTATTACGTTCCCTTGATTTCATAAACAGACCTCTGAAGACCAGTAAAAATACTGAGATACATTCCAGTACTATGAATTCCTAAAAGAATGCACTCGGTTAGCTTGATGATTGTAATATGCTTTTCTTATCACATCACACAACCTACGTGTGTGCTTCCATCTGAAGGTTCGAAACGAGTTCTACAAGGACACGCAGGGTGTGATCCTGGTCTATGACGTGGGGCAGAAGGAGTCCTTTGACGCCCTAGACGCGTGGCTGGCAGAAATGAAGCAGGAGCTCGGGCCTCATGCAAACATGGACAGCGTCATATTTGTGGTGTGTGCCAACAAGGTAACTGCCTCGGAATTGGCATGCTGGCCTTTCTAGCTGGAAGCAGAATAAAGTAGTGGGGGGACCGATAAAAAGAAAAGAAAATTCTGCATTCCTTAGCGTAGGAGTCCACACCCTTTCACAAGTCTCCGAGATATAAACAAAACAACGAAACCGCAAACCTGGAGTTCAAGATCAGCGTCCTATCTCGTTTCTGTGCCCTGCTTGGGGAAGCGCACTGGTGAGTGAGCCACGGGGGCCTGATGGTCAAGCCCGGCCCCAGGAGGAGGGCGTCCATGGCTGGGCTGAGGCTGTGGAGAGCAGGGCTGGCTCAGGAAGCAGCTGCCTGCCTGAGGGAGAAAGTGGGAAATGTGCTCGAAAATCGGATAGAAAAGCAGTCTATATCGTTTTTATTTTTTTCTTTGGTTTCTTTTGGTCCTGGTAATTTTATATACTGGTGCTGAGGCTCATTAAAAATAGTTTTTGGGCTTGGGAAAATAGCTCACTGGTAAAACACTTGTCTAGCACGTGTGAGGCTCTGGGTTCCATCCCAAGCACTGCAAAAAAAACAAACAAAAAAAACAAGTAAATAAATAAAAATTTTTTTTTGCTTCAAGAAAGAAATGACCAGGGCCGGGGATTTAACTCAGTGGTTCTGCTGCCTGCCTTGCAAGCGCAAGGACCCGAGTTTGATCCCTGGTATCAAAAAAAAAAAAAAAAAAAAAAAAAAAAAAAAAAAGAAAAAAAAAAAAAGGAAGGAAGAACTGACCAAGTGCTCACTTGGCTTGTTCTAGTGAGAAAAGTTTGGAATTTTCTTTCCCCCTAGATTGACTGCACCAAGCACCGCTGTGTGAGTGAAAGTGAAGGGCGTCTCTGGGCTGAGAGCAAAGGTTTCCTCTACTTTGAGACTTCAGCCCAAACCGGAGAAGGAATCAATGAGATGTTCCAGGTAACCTCACATTTTTTTGGTTTAGGGTTTGTGTCTTGTGTCAAGGCCAGCCATGCCAATGTTTAATTTAAATTAGGAGAAGCAAAAAAACCAATAGGAATTTTTCATTAGAATAAATACTTTCCAGGGGCCAGGGATTTAGCTCAGTGGTTCTGCCACCTGCCTCTCAAGCACAAGGTCCCAAGTTTGATCCCCGGTACCAAGAAAAAAGAATAAGTACTTTCAAGCTAGTCATGGTGATACACACCTGTAATCCCAGTACTTGGAAGGCTGAAGCAGGAGGATCGCCAAGAGTTTGAGGCCAGCCTGGGCTACATAGTGAGACCCTGTCTTAAAAAAAAAAAAAAAGAATAAGCTGGAGAGAGAGAGAGAGAGAGAGAGAGAGAGAGATTGATTACTTTGTGCGTGTGTGAGATCTCTGTGCTGTCTGTTACAGATCAGATCTAGCCAATCATCAGAATTACCTGGGGAAATTGATTCAGATACCACTTTCTGAACTGCAGACCTCCAGACGTACTGGAAACTTAACATTGCAATGGAACCTAGCAATCTATAGGTTGCAAAAACTCTGCGGGTAATTCAGATGATCAAGTTTAACAAGTTACTGTACTGTTTAAGTGAGACAAAGATTTTCTTCAAAACTACTGCGACATCACACGTGAATCCAGAATCAGGTGGAGGCCTCACAGGTACCTTGTCACTGCTAGTCGCACTGGAGAGGAGGAAACTGCAGTGTCTGCCTGGATCCAGCCAGTCACATGAAAGGTGAGGCCTCCAGCACGGCAGCAGCACATGTGCTCACATGGCAACCTGAACAAAAGGTCTCTTTTTAAACCCTAATCTTGAAGAACTTTAAGGAAAAGAGGCTATTTGAAACAATTAAGTTATAATTAGGAAGTGGTGGTACGAACAGTTTCCCTTGCACATATAGCTGATATTTGGGGAAATTTAGCCTTTCAGATAGTGTGGCTGCATTGTAAAGAGTGGCTCTTAATTACTGAGTGGGGCTGCACTTAGGCTTTTAGGCTGAATCTCGTTTTCCACGTTGTCGCCCTCCCTCTAGAAGACAGGTGTCACCTTCAGCTGACAGGCTAAATTGTGCGTTGGTGGCTTCTGGCTCAAGATCAGGTTGATGTTGCTTAGCCAGCGTTATTCTTTTTAGCACACCAGTAGACTTCCTGCACGAGCTTGTACCTGTGTGTGTACAGCGACAACCCCTGACCCTTTGAAGGGTGCCGTTTCCGTGTTCCGAATCGCTGGAGCTTGGTAACAACAGTGCGTGGCAGGCGTTCTCGTCTCATTGATAAAGACCTGTAAGGGCGGACTTGTCCCAAGGATTTATGTGACAACTGAGATTAAATTTCTTTTTCTTTCTTTCTTTTTTTGCTCAAACTCAGGACCTTGCTCTTGGGAGGCAGGCGCGGTGCTCCTTTTTAAATTGCATTTTATTTTTACTTCCATTGTACACTGTTTATAAAGGGTATAGTGTGGTAGTCTGGTCCACATCCGCAGAGTGTTGATCAAGTCAGGCAGCATTTCCATTGATAAAGTTTCTTGCAGGGTTGTAAGGATGTTGGTCCATTCTCTTTGGCCTCCGCCTTGTGTTGGAGGTGTGGCTCCTGTTGTGCCTTTTCTCCCCCACTGATTGCTTTCAAGAGCTTCTCTCTCTCTCCTTTTTTTTTTTTTTTTTTTTTTTTTTTTTTTTTTG